AAAACCGCTCCCTGGTCAACCTGCGGAAGAGGCACTCGGGCTCTGGAGACGAGGAGTTGGCGTCCAGGATCGACAACTACAAAGCCAAGGCCACGCGGCACATCTTCCTCATCAGGCACTCCCAGTACCACACGGACGCCCCCCGGGAGAAGGACCGCACCCTGACACCCCTGGGTATGTGGGGGGCTGAGCCTGTTGGCCCAGATTCGAGCATTGTCGTCAGCAATTCTCAGCCTCTGGCACAAGACCGCCTTTGAAAACGTCCGCAACTTCAAATATTGCAAAGATATTGTGGGTGTGGCTCCAGCCACGGCAGTAAAGCTGGTTGTAATTTTTTGCTGGTGGAGGGTCTTACCTTCAATTTGTAAAAAGAGCAAGGTCTGTGCAGCACAAGAAAATGAGGTTGCCTGTGCGGTGGGTGTTGCCGCAGGCAGCGACACCCATGTTCGCGTCTGTGGGGCTCCCATAGCCAGTAGGGTCACAGCCTTCGAGCCTCAGTCTTTGGACAAAGTTGAGAGAGATTGGTGTGAGGGACTTGGAGACAGTAGGCAGGGCCCACCCAGATGTTAGCGACCCTCTACCTTCGTCATTGTTTAATGGTTTTTTTCTGCCTGGGACTGAAGGTCACTAGATCGACTCATTGTTACTTGGTAAGGACAGAAGCGTTTGTGGGGTACACAGGAGGGACTCCAGCCGCATGTAATTCTCACGTTTCACCTTCAAGGACGTGAACAGGCTGAGCTCACTGGTCTCCGACTTGCAAGCTTGGGGTTGAAGTTTAATAAAATCGTCCATTCCTCCATGACCCGCGCAGTAGAAACCACCGACATCATCAGCAAACACCTGCCAGGTGAGTGTGGCCGTCCCGGTCCCTCAGCAGCTCGAAGGGACACCCGGGGTCTCCGCTGATCCCTGCTGCTCTCCAGGTGTCTCCACGGTCAGCACCGACCTGCTGAGGGAAGGCGCCCCCATCGAGCCTGACCCGCCCGTGTCTCACTGGAAGCCGGAAGCTGTGGTAAAACGCCCGAGGACAGTGGTCTCCCTTCCCTTGCTGCCTCCTGGCTCTCCCTCCTCCCTCCACTCGGGCTGGCAGCCTCCAGGCTTAGGTGCCTCTCTCTGCCCCCAGCAGTATTATGAAGACGGAGCCAGGATCGAGGCCGCCTTCCGGAACTACATCCACCGGGCCGATGTCAAGCAGCAGGAGGACAGTTACGAGATCTTCATCTGCCACGCCAACGTCATCCGCTACATCGTGTGCAGGTGAGGCGCCCTCGGCCTGGCCTGCCTCGGGCCTTCCCACTGTCCTGGAGGCCGCGTGTCTGGAGTTTCTCTTGATTGTGTGTTTGGGCAGCAATAGCCTAGGTCCTGCCCCGAGTGGTGTGAGCATGGCCCTGCGTGAAGGCACCGTTCCGAATGTGCTGCACCTGTCCCTGCACAGTCGCGTCTCCCCTCGGTGGCGACGTGCCCACATCCTGTTTCCTCGCCTCGGGTTCACACCGACCGAGTCCCCTGCTGCACGGCTGGTGTGTGCCGCGGTCGGTCCTCCTCATTACCATAGTTCTGCAGGGGCCGGTCTTTGCCTCCCTTTGCTGGTATCAGGTGGGCTCTGGGGCCTTTATTTTGTGCTGAGTCGCACCCACCTCCTTAGTCGCCTTGCTGCTCCGCTGCTCTGGCACCAGTCAGGGAACTCCTTCCCCGGCCTCGGTGCCCGTCCTTCCTGGCTGCACAGAAAGTCCCAGGACCCTG